AAGGGGGGAACGAGCTCTCCCGGGTGGTTTTCCCCGGGCGGGGGTGGGACCCAACCGCTGCTGGGTCGCCGTGGGACCGGTGTGCCTGCTGCCCGTGACCGCTGAGCTTCCCTCCCTCTCCAGAAAAGCACCGGGGATTCGCCTTCATCGAGTTTGAGCTGGCTGAGGTGAGAAAGGGGCAAATACCTGGGCTGCTTGGACCCTCCTCTTCCTCCCGTGGCGTTTTTGGGCTGGATCCTCTTCCCGCCAGGACAGCGGCGTTGCGGTTGATGGAGGCAGGAGGGGGTTACCTGCCTCAGCCTCGGGTCTTGCCCAGCCGCGGGACCCGCTGTGCTGCCTTTCGAGTTCCTGCTTTTCCCATTTTTTTTTTGGGCTGAAGCACGGTCACCGCTGGTGCAAACTGCTGTCCTGCTGTCCCTGGAGCTCAGCAGCAGCGGGGGGGGTCCTGCCTTCGGGGGCAGCACGGGCTGTTGTATATTCACCATCTGATAATCTGTCCTGGGGTTCATACACCAGATCTGTCCTCCTCTCTCAAATACTGGTGTAAGTGGTAAAGCACTGTACATAAAATTAGTTTACTGGATGGGTTGTGGGAAAAGGAGCCCCAGATACTGGTTTAGATACGGCTCTTGCAAGATCCATCAGTTTTTACAACCCTGGGGTAGAAAAGGTTTAGGAAAACAGTCCTTTGGCAATCTTTTTTGCAGTGAAACACTGGGGCACGTATATGCTGAGTCTCATTTTTAAAGGTAGAGAAAGAAGAAATGGTAATAATGATTTTCTTTGGCTTTTTTGGCAGGATGCAGCAGCAGCTATTGACAACATGGTACGGACCCTGTTCCCACTGTCCCATGGAGACGTGTGGCTTTGCCGTCTTCCCAGTAGCACAGAGTGAGGCCCTATGTGCTGTGGGCTACATAGAGAGAGCAAGCTCTGTTCTCCTCTGACCTCTGCAGGGATTTGGGGGGCACGGTGATTTTTTACCTTTTGGTGGGATTTGTTGTGCTTTTTCCCCTCTGCAGAATGAATCTGAGCTCTTTGGCAGGACAATTCGTGTGAACTTGGCCAAACCAATGCGAATTAAAGAAGGATCATCCAGGCCTGGTGAGTTGGTGCCCGGGAGTGGGGAGCATCCCCATGGATGTTCAGAGCTTCGTGCATCAGCCATCAGCCTTTCTGCTGTCCCAGACCCTGAGGCCGAGACCTCTGCTCTGCCTCCCGTTTGGGGATCTCAAGGATCTGAGCAGCATCCTAATAATCAAATAACTTAATAACCAAATCATCAAAAATACTTCGCAGTTCCTTGGATGGAAACACTCTTGGCTGCGTTTCTGATTGCCTTCACGTCCTCTGACAGGGGGCACAGCACACACACGTGTGCCAGGCAAAATTACCCACACATCTGGCCACATCTGTAAAAGCACTTGCGCTGCGTGGGGGTAGTTGCAGCAAACAGGAACACGCTTGCCCTGCCCAGTGATGTGTGGCATGTCTGGGAGGGAGAAGAGATGACTTTGCCCCTTGTTTACCTGCATCCTGTTCCTTTTGGGGCAGGCTGCTGCCAGCTGAGTGATCCCATGCCTTGGGTATAGTCCTGGTGCCAGCGCCGTGCTGTGCCCTGACCTGTGCAGCTGCATGCTTCCTCACGCCTGGCCCTTCGCTTTGGTTCCTGTGCTCTGACCCTTCCTTTTGCCGTTGCAGTCTGGTCAGATGACGACTGGCTGAAGAAGTTTTCAGGGAAGACACTGGAGGAGAGCACAGAGGAGGCAGGAGCAGAGGCCCCCAAACCAGAGGTGCAGGAGGTAGGAAAAACAACCGGAGCCATCTGTATCCCTGCTGTCCCAAAGGCTGAGAGTGCAAGCCCAGCTGTCTCTGGAGGCAGAGCAGAGGAATGTCATCTCAACTTGCTTTTTTCTTTTCCTGCCCAGGGTGAGCCTCCTGCCAAGAAATCCCGGGCCAACCCTCAGGTTTACATGGACATCAAGATCGGAAATAAGCCTGCAGGGCGGCTGCAGATCCTCCTGCGCTCAGACGTGGTGCCCATGACCGTAGGTGAGGAGAGGGTCAGCCTCCCCAGCGTGGTGGCTTCCAGCTGTGACACAGCTCTCACCTTTCTCCCCTTGCCCCTGAACAGAGAATTTCCGCTGCCTCTGCACCCACGAGAAAGGCTTCGGCTTCAAAGGGAGCAGCTTCCACCGCATCATCCCCCAGTTCATGTGTCAGGCTGGTGACTTCACCAACCATAACGGCACCGGAGGCAAATCCATCTATGGGAAGAAATTTGATGATGAAAACTTCATTCTCAAACACACAGGGCCAGGTAGGACCAACTCCTCGCTGGGGCTGGAGAGCAAAATGGCTCAACATCGTTTAGGGGCTGTTTTTACCTGGACCACGTTGATAGTAGTCACTCTGAATTATAATCTACGTTGGCCAAATGCTTCTGCCGTGGGTTAATCTGTCACGGTCAGACCATCGTGTATTAGCAAGCAGAAATGCATCGTTCTCTTTCCATCCACGTGCTGTTAATTTCCAGTGTTACAGAACGGAGAAAGCATTTTGAAGCTGCTTTCCTGATTGATTTTTAAAGGAGGAAAGTCACAGCATGACTATGAAAAGCAGTGAAAAGCCAGCGGGTTTATCTCCATACAAACAGCTTTTCTATTAGTGCAACTAAAAATACATGAGCAGTCTCTACCCCATTCCATTTTTCACGCTTGCAATTGCTTTTCTCTCAGCGTAATTGGTTTCCACCAGTTTCTATGGCGTTTAATATTCAGAGGCTCTCTTAAAACCGGCAGTGCTTTGCAGAGCATGGGACTGGGTTTGGGTCGAAGTAGAAGCTCGTGCTGGAGCTCGTCGCTCCCTCCCCAGCCATAACACAACACTGTTTGATCACAGGGCTGTTATCGATGGCGAACTCTGGCCCAAACACCAACGGCTCCCAGTTCTTCATCACTTGTGACAAAACAGACTGGCTGGACGGGAAGCACGTGGTGTTCGGTGAGGTGACGGAGGGCATGGATGTGGTGCGGCAGATCGAGGTACATGCTGGCAGCGGGGCAGTTGGGGCAGAGCCCACCTC